GAGTTAAAACATAGGTTTCGATTATCTTTGAATTCTGTTTATAGATGCTATTCCTGGCCGTTATTGCCAAAGTGATCTAAAATTTCTCTTAAGCCATTATTAGTTCTCTACTTTTACCTTATGCATAAATGAAATTTCTCATTTAATTAAGGGAAGAATAAATATAAAAGTGTCAATATTCTAGCATTGTTTTTAATCTACAAAAGCAGCTTGACTCGACTTTCTCAGACACACAAATTCTGAAAAGCATCAACTTTTTCTCGTCCTGGTGAAAAAAAACAGGATAGGATTTATATGTTTATACCATGAATGGTACAGATTAGAATATATGAGTGGATAGATAAAGACCCTTTTCTAGATTCTTCTCCCTTAAACTTTAGCTATTAGAGTAGAATGCTTCAATTGCAGAATTCTCACTAGAGCAAGGTTTTTATATTACATTATTAATATTCTTGGCCTTGGATGCCAATTAAGTCTCTCACGCCTAAAACTGCTTTGTTTGCTTTTTAAAGAAATCTGCCCACCTTACAGACCTACAAGTTAACTAACCAGTCTGTTTTTTTTTCCTCCTAGATGATTTTGCTCTGTTGATTTCCTGCCAGCTCTTGCTTTCAAATTGAAATAGTTCAGTTTCTCTGTTTCTAGAACATAGAATTCCTTATGCCTGGATTTTTGCCAGCAATGTCCTTCTCATGTTTTTAAAACCGAGATGAATGTTACAGAGTGACCTACTGGGCTCGACCTATGATTAGGAGTCAGGCAGTGATTTATGAGATGTCCGCGTGGTCACTCTGTTCTGGGTGGTGGGCCTGCTAGAGGAATGGGATTCTGGGAGGGTGAGAAGGGCACCCTGGGTGAAACCTTGGGACTGGAGTGGAGAAATATGTACAAGAGATTAGGTAAGATTTGGCTGATGTGAGGCAAGATTTAGATTCTTCCCCTGCCCTCAGGGTCCTGGTGAATTTTTACCGTAGAAAGGGCATACTCATTCATTCCTTTTGGCCATTTGGGTAGAAAACAGAAAGCCAGGTGACAGATAATATTTATAAGGGACTCCAGAAAGAACCACTCTTATTTTTTTTTTCTATTTACGGTGCTGCTTTCCTGCAACGCCGCTCATCTTCTTGTTTCTGCAAGTATTGAAAAGTTGTGCCTTCCTACAACACAGCAAAAGTCTTAGAGAAAAACATACATTGGCATAACCTTATGGCCAAATGAATTTTCCATTCATGTGGCTCTGTTGAACAACACAGGAGACATTCCTTTACCTTTGAGATGACTTTCTAGAAATACGTTAGTGTTTAAATTTTTCTACATATTTTTTAAACTAAACTTTTCATTTTGAGATAGTTGTAGATTCACATATAGTGATAGGAAAGAATACTGAGAGATCTTGTGTACCCTTTACCCAGTTTCCCCCTATAGTAACATTTTGCAAAACTATAGTACAATGTCATTGTATGACAGATTCCCGTGCAGCGTCATTGACATCGGTATAAACAAGACATATAACATTTCCATCACCACAGGGATCCCCTCATGTTGCTCTGTTATAGTCACAGCCACTTCCTTCCTTCCCTGTCCCCCTCCCTATCCCTTGGTAACTACTAGTCTAGTCTCCATTTCTAGAATTTTGTCATTTCAAGAATGTCATATAATGAAATCATACAGCATATAAGCTTTTGGTATCGGCTTTTTTTTTACTCAGCATTAATAGTTCCTTCTTCCTTCTTTATTTTTTAACTGCTGAGTAATATTTCATGGTATGGATGTACTACAGTTTGTTTACTATTCACTCACCGAAGGACATCTGGGTTGTTTCCAGTTTTTGGCTATTATGAGTAAAGCTGCTATGAACATTTGTGTACAGGTTTTTATGTGAACGTAAGTCTTCATTTCTCTCAGATAAATGCCCAAGAGTGCAATGCTGGGTCTTGTGGTAGTTGCATGTTTAGTTTTATAAGAAACTACCAAACTGTTTTCAAGAGCGGCTGGACCATTTTACATTCCCACCAGCAGCATATGAGTGTCCCAGTTTCTCCACATCGTTTCCAACATTTGATGTTGCCACTATTTTTTTTTTTTTTTTTTAAATTTTAGCCATTATGATATAGTGTAGTGGTTTCTCATTGTGGTTTAAATCTGCATTATTTTCCTGACGGCTAATGATGTGGAACATCTTTTCATGTGCTTATTTGCCATCTGTATATCCTCTTTGGGAAATGTGTTCGTGTTTTTTGCCCATTTTCTCATTGAATTGTTATAATTTTTTTTTTAATTGTTGAGTTTTGTGTATTCTCCATATAGACCAGATAACAGTTCTTTGTTGGATAGGTGATTTACAAATTTTTTTCCCCTAGTCTTGATTTTTCATCCTCTTACCAAGGTCATTGGAGGGAAAATTTTTAATTTTGAAAGATCTACTATATCAATTTTTCCTTTTAGGGATTGTGTTGTTGGTGTCAAGTCTAAGAACTCTTTCTTTGCCTACCCCTTGATCATGAAGATTTTTTTTTCTATTTTATAGTTTTACATTTTACATTTAAGTCATGGTCACATATTTTTAATTAGCAATTGAGATCTCTGCTATCTGAAATAAATCTTAGCATGTAGAGTTCTTTCTGCCCTCATTTTTTTTTCTGAAGCATCTACCGAATGCCAACTATGACTTAAGTCACCGATACCAAGTCATGGACACAATCTCTGATTAGCTACATGATTCTGACTTTGTAACAAGTCAGTTGAATAATATACTTAAAAATGTGAGCGTTAGAGCTAGATTCTTTTAGTTATATCCTGGTGCCACCTCTCAAGAGCTTTGTGATCTTTAGCAAATTACTTAATCACTCTGAACATTAATTTTTCAATATCATTCACATTCAAATGAAAATAATACCTATATAGCAGGATTGTTGTGAGAAGTAAATGAAATATTACATATAAAATGCTTAGCTCAGTGCCTGGCACATGCATAGAAAACACTCAGTCATTTTGGTTTCTCTCCTTCGCACCCCATGCAAAGATTCCCTAGGCACCTCCCTCACCTCAGAGTCTCTTCCTCTGTCTTTATTTCTTCCTCTCTCTCTCTCCTGGTCCTAGCTTTTCTACTTCTTTTATGAAACATTCTCAAAGTGTCATGCTATTCATAAATGTGCCCAGGTAACTTTGTTGTTTCAGGGGTGTGTTATGTGCTTCCCCACCTAAATATCTCCTTGAAGTCATGCTCCTCGCCCTCCGTAGAGGCTCACTCTGGTGGGTATGTGCCAAGACTCAGCAAGTCCCCAGTCCACCGAGAGTGGGGACCTCAGTTACAGCATGTTTTGTAGAAAGCAGTTTAGCAGAACGAATCCAAAGCCTTAAACCTTTTGACCTAGTGATTTACCTTTTTCAGAATCTATCTAAAGAATGGTCAGATACTTGAACAAAAACTTGTGTATAGGAATATTTCTCACATCCTTATTTGTAAATTTAAAGACTGAGATAAAAATAAATGTATAACAATAAAAAAAAATCAGAGATCATACAAATTTCATTTACATAGTAGAATATTATGCTGCCAATAAAATTGTTTTCTTGATCATAGATTATATAGCTATAAGGATATTCACTAAAGCACTCTTTATAATAGTGGAAAACATAGAAATAACCTAATAGCCCAACTATATGGATAAATTAAATAAAAAATTATCACAAAATAGAATTAATGTAACATCGCACTTATTTTCTAAAATGTATGTATATAGACACACACACACACAAGCATCACAAGCATATATAAAAATCAAGAAAAGTACACATCAAAATTTTAGTGGTGATTGTCTTTGAGTAATAGTTTTTTGGTGACGTTAATTTTGATTTTTGTTTCTCTTACTTTTAGCATAAGAAAATAAGAATGAAAGTTATAAGCTGTTTTTTAAGATAGTGTTTTGGAGACTATTTAATTATGTGAAGATAATAGTCATTAATCCATTACATTCAAAACATTAATTAACTGCCTATCAATTGTTCGGCCCAGTAACTAGGAGTACAGTGGAAAACACAATCAACACAGTCTCTGAATTATAGATACTCTAGTGAGGAGTACAAAAAGTTACAAGACCGAGAGAGAAGTGATAATATAGTGATAGTACTGAATGTCATGGAAGCTTAGAGAAGGGTGGGGGTTAGTAAGATAGGATAAGGCTATTTGATGGAACTTGAGTGCATTGGAGCCAAAAGAAGGAGTGTTTATAAGGGAGTCTGATCCAAGATGGGTAAGCATCTGCAAAGGTTCTAAATGGATACCACTGAAGTAATATGAAAAGCTATGTGTCTGGAGGAGGGGTGGGGGATGGGGGAAAGGTAGGGAGATAGGGGATGGGCAGGAGAGCTAGAAAAAGTAAGTAGGGATTGGAACATGAAGGTCCTTATGGGTTATGTTGATGACACATTCTATCCTTAAGAGTAAACAGGAAAAAAATGGCAATCGAGGATTTTCAATAGGAATGGCATGATCATATTTTTGCTCTGAAAAGATCACCTTGACTACTGAGTAGGGAATGAATTAAGAGAAGGAACTGGAGTCAGAGAGACCAGTTGGCAGCAGCTCAGGGCACTGTGTCGATGATAATGGCTCTAGGGATAGAGAGATGAGACCTGGTGTAGAAATGACTTGGTGGCAGTGGTAGGGGAGATGTCGGGAAAAGCAAGGGTTAAGGATGACGTTTTGGCTCCTGGGTTGGCAATTGTGGGATGGTGGTCCCATTAATTGAGATATGGGACGGACGAGGAGGCATGCAGTGGGAGGGAAATCGAGTTCAGTTTGAAACACACTGAGTTTGAATTGCTCGTGGGAAGTCCAACGAGGTGTTTAGGAAGCTGTTGGGTAGATACAAGCCCGAAGGTCAGATGGGAAACTAGCTGTATAGACGTGCGTGCGTGCGTGTGTGTGTGCGTGGTGGGGGCAGTGATGAGAGTCGATGGGATCACCAAGAGATACTAGAAGAGAAGAGGGCCATGGACAGAACCCCAAGGAAAATCAACATTTAAGAAACCGAAAGTGAGAAAGAAAATTGACTCAAACCTGGTCTGGGACAGAGATTTTTTGTGTGATGTAATTTACAACTCCTTCTGGGAAGCAATTAGCATTCCTGATAAAGTGCCTGAACAGTTTTCTGACAGACTTTAATAAGACTGAGAACTCCTTCTGGGAAGCTAGGGTTACCCATCCAGCTGATTGACTAGCCTAATAATCTTTAACCAGATGTTCGTTTTTTAAATTCCATTCTAAACATGGTTGGTGAACCATTCTTTTTTTCTTATAAAACGTCTCAACTAAAATGACTCCTTCAGTTGATTCGTTTCAACAAGCTTTTTCTCATGTACTCAAAAACAATTTGTTTGAGGCATCGCTTTAACAAAAGAGAAAGAGGACCCGGCAAGAGAGTGAGAAAAGGCCAGGTAGGAAGGAGAGAAAGCAGATGGCGGTTGGAGTTATGGACACCAGGAGAAAGTAGGCGTGCGTGGACGACAGCGTCGCATGCTAGTGAGAGGTGAAGTAAAACACAGGTGAGGAATTGCCGCTGGATTCTGCAATACGAACGTCCGTGGCGATCTTGGCAAGGGCAGTTTCACGGGGGTGATCAGGGGCATAAGTGAGATTTCAGTGGGCTCAAGGGTGAGTGTAGACCAGGCTTTCAAGAAGTGTGAGTGCAGAGAGGAAGGAAGAGGACGAGAGCTTTGAGAGGGTTTCTTTGCAGTGGAAGACCTAAGGATATTTAAATGTGTTTGAGAAGGAGTCAGTGGCCGGAGAAGTGGGAGGTACCTGATAGAAGGCCTGATCTTGAGTTAGAGACCACGGAGAGTGGGCCAGGCGCAGGGGATGCTAAGCCCAGGTTGAGGGGAGGCCATCTTTCTCCCACTGTGACAGGAACAAGGGGGAGTGTGGGCCTGCAGGGAAGACCACCCGCAGGTTGCGATGGCCTCTGTTACTCCTTTGATGTAGGAGTTAGGAGCTCGGCTGAGTGTGCTGAGGTGAGTGGCAGGGTGACAGACTGGGGGCCACGAGGAAGCTCTAAGAAAGATCCCAAGGACAATGGGAGATTAAACTGACCGGAGAAATAGGAGTTAGCACAGAGATTGATTTCAGGACATCCCAAAGCTGGAAGAATATCGTAGAAACAATCGGCACAGGTCTGTGATTTTCTCCATGGTGCTTAGAAGTCCTGGTTTGGGCATAAAGAAGGCTAAAACGTTTCAATTAATCCGGACTGTCCTCAGTGAAACCATTGAAACTTTGCAGCTTCCTCTGCCCATCCTTTAAAGATGACTCCTGAGCTTCCAGCCTAGGCTGTTTTCTACTTACTTTATAGAGATTTTCCATTGATCTCATTCACTCCCACAGCCTCAGTCAATCTCTGTGCTAACTCCTAAACTGATACTTGCAACCCGGCCTTTCCCATCTGCTCTGGGCTTCCTCTGTTGGATGTCTCCTCAGGCTGCACTCATCATACCTCCACCCCTGCATTTCCTTTCCTTGGAGAATGAATGTAATCTTCAGGAGGGCAGAGGTTTACTAGTCTTTTTCACTGCTGCATGCCCTGAGTTCAGAGCTCAGTGCATGCCTGCTGAGTCAATGAAGAAATCCTCTCAGTTCTGTAAGCCAGAGACCTGGGGTCACTTTTCACTCCAACTTCTTCCTCACCTCTGACATCCAATCCATCAAGTCTTGTCCACAACCAAATGTGCCTCAGGACAGGAAAAAAAGTGAGTTATCAAGCCATTTTAACACAGAAACTGTTTCCTTTTCCTCTTTTTCTCTGCTTCATTAGCACTGGAACCAAACCATGGGGTGCACCTCTCTCTGGCTTCCTCTCCCCGCCCCCCAGCACTCAGCCCCCTCAGCCTCAGAGAATAGGTAGCCAGTTTTTCATTTGCTAATGATTTGGGCTCAGGTTATAATGGTCCATTAAGGTGTTTTGTGGAAAGGAAGAGGAAAATGGATCTTTCCTGGGGAACGATAAACATCTGGTGGGGGCGGGGGGGGGGGGGCCGCCCTCTCCCCTACGTGAAGGACGAGGGGCCAGGGATCGATCTAGGCCTGCAAGAGCCAAGGACCCCTGTGGGGGCCTGAGGCTTCCCTGACTGCCCACCCGGGTGGTTCAGCTTGAGCCTCCGCTCTGCAGGCCTGGACACCCAGGTGTAACCGCGTGAAGCCTTGAACTGCTCACTTCACCAACAGGCAGTTAAGTCGAGTGACAAGGAATGCAACTTTATTTGGAAAGCCAGCAAGCTGAGAAGATGGCGGACTAGCACCCTAAATAAACATCCTGAGAAAGTACAGGCTTCTTTTATATCAGAGGAAGGGGAAAACGGGAGGGCTTGGAGGCCAGGAGCTGATTGATGACCATAGACATCTGGACATCAGCAAGGGTCCAAGGGGAATGGTAAAACTTCTTTGGTTTTGGTCAACAAGCTCCGGTTGCTGTGGTCTCAGTCGTGAGTTTCCCATAAATCTTTTGCTAAACAATCATTATTTTCGTACATACCTTCCTTATCTCCTTGGGGAGGTAGTTTCTGACTGGGAGGCAATTGCAGAATTCCTAGGCTACAAGTTAGATTCCTTTAATGATTAGCATATCTATGTGCAGGACTAAGCGAAGGTTACTAATGCGAAGGCTGAGGCTCGAGCAGGATGGAGTCAGAAAGACCACTGTTTCATTCTGTTACATGGGCTTCTGCCTGTTCGCTGCCCATAGTCCGTGGTTTGGTCCCATAGACGCTGCTCTCCCCATACGAGGCGCTCTCCCAAGATGCCCTAGACATCCCTAATGGGCTGGCGGAAGGCGCTCTCACCCCTTTCCAGAGGGGCTGTTGAACTAGGGGAGCTGGCAACCTCCGAAGGGCCAGGGCCGTGTTCGCCAAGCCTCCATCATAGGCTGGTGTCCCCTCTCCATCCCTATTCCGTGACCATAGTCCAAGTCCTTCTCTATCACCTGGTCACTGCAGAAGCCTGTCTAGCCTCCCTACCTCCGTCTCATCTCCACCCATCCATTCTCCACACAGAAGCTAGAGTTTTTGTAAAACAACTTTTGTTAAAAGTGCAACATTTGGCCCCCCACCCCCCTTCCTCACCTGGCTAATACCTATAATCCTTCAGGGTTCGGGTCACTTATTCTGAGACGTCATCTCTGACCACCCTCCTCCCACTGCACACACACACAAGATTATGTATGTGCTCCCTCCAAGCCCGGCGCTTTATTGTAATCACTGTTTAAACTTTTAACTGGCTATGGGCAGTGACTAGGGGTACCTCCCAGTCCCCCCCATCGCCTTGCCCCCTTGTCTCCGGTGCCTGGCTCTGTGCCTCCACAGAGTGGTGGATGGACGTAAAATCTATACAAGTAGCTCTCCAATTTGAATGTGGATCGGAAATACTTGGAGGGATTAACACACAGATTGCTGTGTTTCAGTACTTTCTGCTTCAGTACTTTCTGATTCAGTACATCTGGGGTGGGGCTGGAAATAACGCATCCTGGCACGTTCTCAGGGGCAGCTGCTGCTGGTTAGAGATCAAATTTTGAGTTACCACTGCTCCGCCTCTAGTAAGAGGAGAAGACTAGAGGGGTAGCTTGGAGTGACTTCTCAGAGAAAGGGAAAGGTCAAGGTCAAGTGAGAAGCATACTCTTTGGAAGTCTCAGACAGAGGTAGTAAAATGGGAGACTTGAATTTTATATTAAGGATGGCAGAATTTCCAATAGGTGACGCGGTCCAGTGAGTAACTATGAGAATGCATGGTCGCTGTGCATGAATGTATGGTATGCGGACACGCAAAGATCTGAAAATTTAAAAAAAAAAAAAATTACTTGAAAAAGTACAATACTGAAATGAAAAAAATGAAAGATGTAAGTGAAAAGGAAGATTGTAAAATGGAATGTGTGACATTTTTGCAATTTTATTTAAAATGCCTAGAAAAAAGACTGAAAATATACGGCAATATTTATAATAGCTACCCCTATCGGTGAGCTTTATTACCTTCCTTCACCTTTCTAAATTTTCAAAATACTTTCTCTAATTATGTTTTCTTAGCAGGGTTAGAGAAAATCTTTTCCAATTTCGAACCTCCTCAAATGTCAGCTGTCTCGGACATTTCCATCTGGTTAAACTAAATGATCTCTCCTGTCCCCCTGTCAGACTTGTTTCTCTTTGCTCTCTTAACTTGTGCTAAAAGTATAAAAATCAACAAAATTAAAACAACCAAATCAAAAACAAGCAAAAGAAAACAAACAGCAACGACAACAAAACGGAAGAAACCAAGAACACCAGGAAAGAAGAATGCAGGCGGTCCTGACGCCAGCAGCGAAGCAGCTCAGTTATCGGCCTCCTAGTCGTGACCCTCCTAGTCGTGACTTACAGTTGAAGGTTGTGATCACCTAATTAGCTGTTCAGGACTAGTGACCTCACCGACCGGTCAGACAGGGTGCTCTAGTCCTAATCTCTTATCCATGACCTCTTGGGGTTCAGGCATAGGCTAAATGTGGCTCTCAACTGTACTGTTCTTGTATAGAGTATGCCCACACATGTCTCTTTGAACAAGATCCCCTCCCACCCGCAAAAATACCATTCAAAAAAGTTAATAAAAAGTTATCCTATCCATCATTTAGTTATTAAAATTATTATTTTTTAATTATTTGACAACCAAAGCCCTCTTTAGAACAAGGTTTGTTTGGGGCATGAATTCAAAGTTTCAAACAAAGTACAAATAAACTTTTGGAACACAACCTATTTCATCCAAGAGAGCACTTGTGCAATAAAAAATTCTGTCTGTGCATTGCAATGTATACCAACTGGCAATGTTATCTGCCAATAAGAATTTCTTGCTCATTTTTCTAAAGGCATAAGATAGGACTTCAGTGTATGCATCTACCTCACTTCAAATATGAACAATCCTGAATTTCTCGTCAAGGCCTTATAATTCTTTACTTATAGAATAGACACAAAGGAAATGACTAAACATTTATAGGTATAATCATATGGTTTCTAATCAGGAATATGAATATAACTATCCAAATTTTTATTCCATAAGACTGCATTATTATGGATGATAATAATTAAACTGTGTATGAATACAGCAAAATATAAGGGACATATAGAACTGTAATTATCACCAGAACACCGATCAGGTCAGAAAATACTAGAATCTTAATATTTCAACTACACTGATTGTAGCTATTTTCTTGAATGTCCTTTCATTTCTGATAATTGTGAATTAACACAACCATTCTCGAGACTGGGAAATGGTGATCCTCAGTGATTTTGTAAGGCAAGACAGTAAGTGACAGAGTGGAATCAGAAACTTGTTTTCCTGATTGTCGGCCTAGTACTTCTTATTCTAGAGCTGCCAAAAGGCGAACCATGTTGTTGCCTTTCCCATTTTAGAAACAGGTTATATCAACGTTTCCTCTGTGGTCTGATGGCAAAAGGTCCCTATTTAAAAAATGTCAACAGTTGATCATTAAAAACAAATGTCTTCTTACATGTTTTTTGACAATTCAAGTTGTCTTCCAGTTCTTCAAACAACCACTTTCTCAATTTGGTAAGAATAATCAGAATTAGATGTTGAATTCGATCTTATCTATCATCTCAGTGGGGAAACCAAGGCCCAAAGAGATTTATCCAGGGTTTTAGTGTGAGTTGATGGGAGTCTCCTGACTTCTAGTCGAGGGCTATTTACAGCACGTGGCAAGCACTACCTCAGACACCAGTGTTATGAAAAGTTGGTGTGAGGTGTTCCCGGGACCATAAGTCCTAATCAGCGTGTCACTGAGTGGCAAATGCGATTGAAAAAATTGGGGTGGGGGGAGAATAAGTGAAAGAACTCTGGCTGGAATGTAGCAGTTGCAATTTTCCATGAATAGAAGACCAAAAAGGGATATGACGCAGATGGCCGAGGGAATCGGTAACCTCCTATTGCGAGGGTTTCTGCTGGGAACTTTAATGAGGTTATCTAATTCCTCTTAACAACCCTTTAGGTAGGTAGGGGCTGTTAACCTCATTTTATTACTCATGAAATTGAGGCTCAGCATCTGTAATTTACCCCACAGTCACACAAGTTGATAATTGGTAGAGCCAGGTCCGAAGCAGAGTCTGTCTGGCTATGAACCTGTGTACTTTTACTCCTGTAGTAGAGTATGTGTAAGGCGAACCATTGAAAATAATAACTGCAGTGCAATACCAATAAAGGTAATAATGATAGCATAGTGCTTTATGTGTGATCTCTTTGAACAGGATTAAATGAGCACATGAATAGGGCCAATGTGGTGTCTTCGTACTCTTGGTTAGTGAAACAGTATATGTCTATACTTAAGATTTCCTTTGGCTTACTTTGTTTTCTGAAAAAATCATTGAAAAACTCAATTAGTTTTGTTTTGCTGCGTTTATCAGATTATGATGTTCTTGATGTGGGTGGATGGCTTGGTGTGTGATGGTGTTAAGTTAAACCTGATATATTCAGAAGAATTCCAGCGCATAAGTATGCCTTTGGGTTTGATATTCAACTTTGTAATTAGTGATCACTGTTTCTATTTATTGGATGGGAATTTTAATTTGTACCAAAGTCTTTTTCCTTTGGAAACTGAATGTCATATGCACCCTTATTTCTTTAGGGGGTCCATGAAAGAAATATGTTAACTTTCATAGGAGAAAGCAAATATGTACGCTACACAAAATCTTTAAGCTCTCATTTTTTACACATAAACGCCCCCCAAATGAATCTATGACTATTATTTTTATATTCATCTGCACCTCCAGTTTTAGCATTAGGCACAATAATGGTTGGAAGGCGATGTCCAGTTCCATAATACTGTGTAACAGAAAGCTGGTGTCAATTTATAAATAATCACTGTCTTCCAATGAATTCATGCCCATTTGCAACTATCAGTTCAATGCTAACTTAGATAAAGACAAGTCCCGGCTCCAAATTTGGATTCTCTGTATCTAAAAACGTCATTCTAACTCGCAGCTCCCCAAAACTGTTACTACAAAAGAACTATTTATTTTTCTATTTAGTCTAAAAGTGAAACCTTTCACCCAAATTATACGCCTCAATAGCCATATTTTTATGTACATAATTTAAACTAAATTGAAAGACTCCATGCCTAGGGCCAGTGATGCCGGGCAAGAGTTAGAACTGGGACAGTGAAGGGGATAATGGAAAAGCCCACCTTCCTGCCGGGAGACACCGCACGCATTTCCAGGTTCAGAAGGCAGGCGACGGAAGAGGTTTTGAAAGCTGAGCAGCGCCAGCGCTCGCGGACGCAGGCCGAGCCGGCTGTGGCGAGGGCCGCGAAGAGTTAACGAGGGACGGAGCCCCCCGCGCCGCGGGCTCCCCGCGCGCTCCCTCCGCCCTCCTGTCCCCACCCTCTCGTTTTGGCAAGGGATTAAAGTGCTCCCCCCTGTGGCAGCAGTGACCCAGAAATGAGTTTGATTCACACAGTCCTTCCTCCATAACAAGCCAAACGCCCGTCCGAGAGTGCCTCCCTGCGCGAGTGCCGAGTGTGTGCGCGCCGGCGAACGCAGGGGC